ATAGAAAAATATTTTTTGATGAAACCAAATAATAAATACATGAGTTTAGAGAAAAACAAAATTTTATAATTCATTCATTTTACGTTATATATGACGACTGTAAAACAGAAACATCTGGAATCGAATCGAGTTCAGGAGTATGAAGTTGATGTTGAATCCTTTCGAATGTATTTTATTTGAATTAATTAATAGACGAAAAAATCAACTTGAGGAATAATTTAAAAATATATACAAATAAAAAGATACCAATGTTGGTACTTTTAAAGAAAAATTTGATCAAGTTTTAACATTTCTAAAAAAAAAGCGAGGAAGAAATAAAATCCACATCAGATATCTGTCAAACAACTAAAGAAATATCTAATAGATATGCATATTTTCAAAGCGTGTAAAAAAACGGTTGCCAAGTAAGGTCAGCATAGCTTCCTCGCCGTTTTCATTGGCTAAAATATTAAAATATTACAAGGTATAAAATTTTTCGTATGATAATAAAATCTCTGGGAGAAGCCGATTCGGAAATACAGTTACCCTTCAACAATCGCGGGTTCGATAAACCACGAATTTCGTTTATCAGCTAATGTTAGAATGCGAATGAGTGCCGTATTTGAAGATTCCTTATTTGATTATTCTTAATTTAAAAAAAAACAATCCATACTGAACATGCATTTCACTATTGTTAGTGCAAAAGATCGTATGCAAAAATTGATTGTTTTACAAGAGTGCATAAAAACTCATTATTTCTTTATGCGTTATAAGTATAATTTCTTATGCTATTGTCATATGCTATTTTCCATAGTAGCAGAAAACTTATATCAGTTACAGACTGCGAAATGTAAGCTTTAGCACAAATAGAATAAAAGTTGAAAATGTTTACATACGACCTTTTGCACTAATAGTAGAGATATATACTTTATAGGTATGTTTTCACTCGTAAAATGGATGGAACTAGAAAATTCATAGGAGAAATTCAACTTGTTTGTTCGGCGTTAACGAGACCAATACTTTTCTTCAGTCAGAACAAAGCGCTTTAACCTAGAAAATATAAAAATATGGGTGAAGTTCACATAACTTCTATATTTAATGAGGAAATCGAGAACAAGACGAACTGGTTGAACTTCAATGGAAATAAACACAATCACAAATAAGACTTTTTTTTTACAAACTCAGAGTATAAATTACTTTAAATGTAGTGAAAATTACACGAAATCTAAGTAACAGCATTAAGTTTCATGCCAGTAACGTTTGGAATCGACCAAACAATACAGTATCGAAATTACTTGAGAAGCACTATGGATGAGAAAATATTAAACACTATAGCTATTCAGTATATATGTAGACAGAAACATTTTAAGCGGAATTGACACTACCAAAATTATTGATGAATTTATAAAAAAAAAAAAAAAAAAAAAAAAAGATGAAAATCACATAAAAGAAATACACAAAAATTTGTTTTTTTGATCATTTAATTTAATTTTAATTAATTGAAAAGGATTTCTTAAAATACCTTTCTTTTCAGGACCTTAAAAATAATCACAAATTAAAAAAAAAATACCTTGTATCATCATTTATACTTTATGTGATATTTTTCTTGAAAGTTGTTTTTGGGGACGTCTCAAAAATTTTAACCATTTAGCGCCTCCGTTTGTCTTGATTCGCCCTTGTATCACAGGTAAATGCATTCGCAGCCCTCTCTTTTAGGTACGGGAAAACAATCGCAAGAATAATTTAGTTTATGAGATAGTTTATTACTTAAGTTTTTTCTATAAAATATCTCAGGTTTATTTTTCTTTTATATTTTAAGATTATAAACATTTCATGCCCCTAGCACTCAGAATATGATCGATTTCGATTGTTTTGTTTCACTTCAATGTTCCAATTCCTAGTCGACTTTCTGCTTACAGGTTTATTAAATTAATGATCTAGCATTTGGAAGGAAGGTATGTAACTATTAAATTTCCTTCGGTCTTCAGATACATTTCGCAACGAATATGCGACAAAGAATTTTCGTAACGCCCCTACTTTTGCATCTGAAAAACCATATATAAAAGTTGTTCCTGAACAACAAAGCTTTCGGAACTAATTAAGCATAGGTATTACAAAGGCGGATCGTAATACTGCCGACGATGTAGATGTTCATTGAGCCCACTCTCCCGAAAATAATAACAGGAATCCTCTCCCCAAAACGAGGCCTGACAATAGATGGGGAAGTTGTAGCAGGAATTATTTAACAGGATAGGATTGTTTTCAGTTCTCTGGCTTCTAATTAGTTCGCCCAACTTCTAACACCGCATCTGTTTCATGTACCCACAATAACTTTTTTTTTTACTTTTTTCCATTCGTTTTTTTTTTAGAATCGAGTAAAAATAGAAGGTGAATTCGATGAAAAAGATGATTTTTTTTTTTCAAATTTATTCTTAAAGGTACCGATTTTTTTCTTTTTAATTTCGTGCGTTGTTTAACATTTTTACTATACATAAAACTTTGGTCCATGGTTTTCTTCAATCTCATTTTAATCGATGATTTTAAATTAATATCAACAATCCTACTCAAAAGTTTTTAATGTATCATTCCAAATCTTTTATTAATATTGATAACTTTTTTTTTTCAGAGACTAACACTAAAAGTATGATAAAGTATAGTTGACAGTGCAATATATTAGAATTATACTTTTTCAGTCAATGTATTGATATAACTGTAAGATACAAAACATTAAATTAAGTTTTTATTACAAGCCAAAGATTTTCCCTAAACATAAAACCTAAGACCTTTTGTAAATAAGCATCTATTGGAGTTTTGGCAATGGCCAGATCCTCCACTCAAGCCCGAGTGTGTATGATTAGGTTAGTTCTTTTGTTTATATACATTTATTTTATTTTATTGTATTTATTTTTATTTTATTTTATTGTATTTATTATTATTAAGTTTCTGTATTATTATTTATTTTATTTTTTTATTGTAAATAGAGTGTGAGTGTGCTTTCTCTGATCACTATTATAAATGTCCTTGATGTGACAGAATGTAATATTTCTAAATAAACAAATAATAAAAAAAAAAAAAAAAAAAAACATAAAACCAAATGAGGGCCAATAGTGAGAGATTAGCCTAAAATGAAGAGTGGTTCATTCAAATGATGATTAATTCAAAGAACCAATTCTTTGAAAACCATTAAGCAACTCCTCCCTCAAAAAAAATAAAATAAAACATGAAAAGGAGTTATTCGGGGGTGCGGTCAAATAAATACTAAATTAAAATATAGTAATTATTTTAATTTTTGCTGCCAGTTTAATAGTTGACTGCCAGTAACTGCCTCCCACAGTGCTACATCCTACGCCCTGAAGATGACCTGAAAAGTGGGTCGAAACGTCGGCAAAAATTAAAATAATTACTATATTTTAATTTAGTATTTATTTGACCGCACCCCCAACTAACTCCTTCTCATATTATATCAACGGTCAACCATCTCTACATCATTAATAAAATAAAACATTTGATATTACAAAATGCTGTCCATTTACTTCAACTTTCTGTAAATTTGTCGAACAACAGAAAGGAGTAAATGAGCTTTTAATGTTTCTATAAATCCCAACTCAATCATACCGATTAAACACAGATATTCTTTCATCATTGATTAACAATAAAACTTACAAAAATTGGTTTGAAATTTCAGCAAGATAATGTGTGAATCAAAATTTTTTAAATTTCCACAACAAATAAAAGAGCATTCAAAGGATTATTAGATAAATCTATATGTAATCATTTATTTTTTCTCTGTAATTTTTTTTTAATAAATAAATAATAAAATCTTCATTTGCCACATCATATTTTTATTTGGTTATATTAATATTGGAAATAAGTTCATGCACTAAAAATTGTTTTTATGTCGTGAAAATAACTTTTAATAAACTAATTTACATACCTTGGACTTTGTACTAGTTGATGCTTTGTAGGTCCTTAGTGGTCTATTATTCAAATCTTCAGAAGACTTCCAGAAGCTGTAATATGATAATTTAAAAATTAAATAAATACTTAGATAAAATAAGATTTTAAATATTTCAAGGTTTGAAAAAGAAGTTCATTACCGATTGGACTGATAAAAACTAAAGAACTTAAATTTTTAAGTCTGGGAAATTTCTCAATGCCAATCTCAAAATAAATAGTAATTGTCATATAAATAATTATTAGTAGATAATGAACTGATTATTAAAACAAAAATTGTTCTGTAATTATTAATTCATAACTAAATTTTAATTATATTTTGATCAGAAAGAGATGTCTGTATGTTTCGGTAGAAAAAATTAAACATAATAGAATATTCAATGTTATTCAATTTATTTCAATGTTATTTAATTAGATGATTAAGCAAATAATCAAATCTACTGTGCTACATTGAATGCTCATATAAAATAATAGTACTCCATTTCTAAAACCAAATACTTTCATTGCTTATGAAATGAATTAAATTTAATTTAAATATTAGAATTTTAATTAAATTTTAGTTAGAAATATTATTTACATAGAAATAAAAATAGAAAAAAACTTTATTTTGGAATAATGTGCCTTGAGAATAACAGCAGTTATAGAAAAATACACAAATAGTGTAACAACTATGAAAATTTTTCCAGAGTGATTTCTCAAATTTAATATATTTATTTGAATTCGATGTTGTTGTTCTACATTTTAAATTATATTTAAAAAATATCCTTTAAAATCCTGAATCCTAAGTTTTAAAAATTGGCTTTTATAGAAACTGACAGACATAATTATACTTATATTGTATTATATATATATATTACAGTACTCAATGAAATATATCAGTATTCTATATTCTTTATAAATATGTTAAAGTTTTTTTTACTCCTTTGTAGTTATCAAAGGTTAGAGACAAAGATATCAATACATTTCTTTCTGTAAACACAGTTAAAGTTTTTATTTAATTTATTACTAAATTCAACCATTATTCATTCATAACGTGAAAATATATTGTTTAATTTATCGCTAACAAGGAGCAAAGAAAGGAATTGAAAGGCTTCAGGAAGAACTAGAAAATCTCAAAGAACGGACAGAGGGTAAGCTTAAAGAAAATAATATTCAAAATGAAGCTACGACTTTACTTTCAATGACTGATGCATGTTAGAAATGTAACAACACTTCATCCAACATAAATCAGTTATCTTATGCATATAATTTAACTTATATTACTGTAATTAAATTTTTTTAGAACTAATTTCTAAGATTAGGAGAACCTCAAAGATTATATATTATTTATTAGAAACTTAATATTTCTCTGAGAAGAGAGTTGTTGCCACTGAAAAGAAGATCAGTGGCATTCCACAAGTAGGAAAAAGAAAAAACTTCCCTCCCATATTTACAACTGAGACCAAAACATTATGGCTGTTTAAAATGAAACCTAAGATAATTGTGAAATAAAATAAAAATAATTCTAAACAACTTATAAATTATTATTCACATTGTAGGAAACTTTTTTTAATTCAGCACCCTTGTGAGAAATCAATTGATGTAGATGTAGCAATGAAATTTTTAATTTAACTAGCCTATTTCAATGACAACCAACTTTTATTGTTTTAAGATTAGAAACAATTGGATAATCAATTTATTGTAATTTGTTCCATAGACAAGGTACTTTCTCCCTAATTATATAGTCATCCTAATGGTTACAGTCCCCGCTGAGAAAAAAAAAAAAATTATCTCTGGACCCAACCCTGAAGTAGTTTGTTGTTAGTCAAAAGAATAGTCATTAGAGATCTTATTGACCTTGAAGTGACAATGGAATCCATTCCTTTTTATTATTATTATAGCAATAATAATGAATCATTAACAGTCTAGCTTAATTACCCCTCCAATTGGTGACTGTTAATTATGAGATGAATAATCACCAATAACCAAGTTCCTCTCCTTCTGTTAACTTGAGGTAAATATTTTAATGAATATTATACGTTCATTCATTGAACATGACTAGCTTGAAATTTCCTCAACTTTAAATATGACACAGCAAGTTATTATGTATTGTTTTACATTAATGCGAAACAAAATTAACAATGAATGATCAAAGTGATGGTATCCAAAAGTGTATCCACTATCTTTCCACTACACCATGTTCCATGGCAACACGTATAATATAATAACATTGCTCTACCCATATCTGAAGAAATATGTTATTAGGGAATTCCCCTGGGCAAGAGGCCAATAAAAACCCATACCACACTGAACAGAAAACAACTGAACAAACGATATGGATTATTATCCAAGTTACTTGACAGATGCTCCAAATTATACTTAACTAACAGACTTACCATCTACAATTTACTTTTATATCCTTTATGGACTTACGGGATAGAGCTATGTGGCACTGAAAAAGCCTCAAAGATTCATAAAATTTAAACTGCTCAATCAAAAGGTTTGAAATGAATGACAGATGTACCGTTCCATGTGACAAACAACTTGCTACAAAAAGACTTGAACATCTAAACAATTTCAGACACTGCACCACAGTACTGGACAAAATTTCCACCAGAGACTGACAACAAAAACCCATACATTCCACCCCGCTGACTTTTGAGATGGTAGTCCAGAGTTTCAGATTTACAGAAATTACTCAATATGTAATATACGGTACAAATATGTAATGTGCACAGATTTATTGCCAAAACTTTGTAGATGCAAATTTCAAACCTTACTAACTTATATACTTGTTTAAATAAATTTTAAAAAATTACTAATTCGCAAAGTGGTTAATTATAAAATTAACAAATAATTTTCAAAGAGTTTTTCATTAGGTAGAGGAGCAATAAAAAAATGAACATATTTCCTAATATATTTAATAAATTTAAAAGAGTTTAAATTTGTACTTCAATAGATATATATAGTATTAAAAACAATTATGGTATTCAAGAAGAATACTGATATTTTAGGCAAAGAAAACTTTAATGAATTTTCTCATTAATGAAATATATGTTTCATTGTCAATTAACTTTGAATCTGATATTTCAGGGAGGAATCCAGATATAACTCCACCAACTGAAAATACTAAAATCGTACCCGGAGCAGTAACATTCCAAAATTTGGATGCTATGTCTAAAGTAAGTCAAATAATATTATTTAACTTTTCTTATTTTATAGTCAGAAAAGTTAATTCTAGATTTCATTAAAAAGAAAGTAATTATTTTTTAAAGTGAAAATGTTCTATTCTAGATGTCACTTGTAAGTCCAGTGGGAACTCTTGCATACATCATTGACGAGCAAGCCTTGTTGGTGAGAGTCAACAATGGTTGGCAATATATTGCAGTAAGTAAAATTTTATTCCATTTCATTAAAACCTAAAACTGACTAAAAAATATAAGCAATGAACTGTGTGAATATAGCTTGAATTTGAAATGAGTAGAATTTACAATGTAGTCACATTGTACTACGCTAGATCATAAACTTAATATGAAATCTCATTGCTCTTTAATGTATTTACTTGTTGATTTTTAATACATTAAAAATGGTTTTTAATCGGTTTTACATTTAAGAGGATTTGTTAAAGTACTTATAATCAATTAAATCAATAGATGTACCAGGTGTGTAAATATGAAACTGGAATTTTTATATATAAAATAAATGTTTATTGCATACAAATGTTTCAAAGTATTGTCCATTGCTAGCTTCACATTTCTTCCATCTCTCTTGCAATTTATGAATGTCAAGCTAGAAAAACTGTTGCTCATTTTTGAAGAATCAGTCATCAAACTTTATTTCATACATGTTCTTAAGAAGTGAAGCATTGTCGAGCTAGTGAGTACCCCATCGATGCAAATAAATTGCACACGGACTGAAACAAGTCTGGTGAGTAAACCGCATGTGCTAATACTTTCCTACTGAACACCTCAATTGTTTCCTTCACTGGTTTTGCTGTGTGTGATGCTGCATTATCATGAAGCAAAACCACTTTGTGTTGGCTTTTTTGATATTCTGATAATTTTTCACCTAATAATTAATTCAAACCAATCATTTTTTGTTGATCATATTCAGTATTAATGGTTTTACCAGTTTCCAGCAGCTTATGATAGACCATACTCATGTTCCACATTCTACATCGCTCACATCAAAATTACCATTTTAAAATTTTTTATACCATTCAAAGCATTGTGATTTACCAAGAGCATGCACGCAGTAAACTTTGAAAAGCATTTGAGGCGATTTTACAGCAGTTTTATTATTTTATCACAGTAGTATTACCAAACTAATACCGTCCACAAATTTAGTTTGTAAGCACAAAACTCAACATGCTGAACCCTATTAAAACAATTGTGTTACATGAAACTTGTATTATTGTGAGTTGAAAATCTTTGCCAGCTGTTAAGAAACAAAATGGTGCCAATAATATGGTTTAACGGTAACTACATTAACAATTTAATCAATCTATGGACCAATTCAGGTTTCATATTTACAACCTGGTAAATAAAATTGTTTTATTTTAATTAGAAGAAATTAATCCAATATTAAAATAAGCCGATATTTTTAGCAGACTATAATATACTAATGTACATTGTACAATATATAATATGCATTTTATAGATAGGAAAAAAACATTAAAACATAATAAATAAAGAAGCCGTATGAGTATAGAAAATGTAAAAAAGAAAACAGCAAATAAAAATAACTGGACAGTTATGTTATACAAAGTTTTAAATTAAAGTTTGGAGGATGTTACAAAGAATACTTACACCATAATCAAGAAATGATTTTCATTTACATTTAAATAGAAAAATTACATTTAAAATGTACGTTGTTTATCTGATGACATTGTTTTTAATTATACATATTCTACTTTTTAATTAACATCGTGAAATTACTTTTACAGCTGGGCACATTAGTTTCAATTGCAACTGAAGAGCCGCCTACCACAACAACTGAAAAACACAGACCTCCGTTTGAGTCATCAAATCTAGTCAATAACCAGCCTGTGCCAATGGATGGTCCTGTGGTAAGTTAAAAACTTATAAGTTTATAATAATAATCAATAATTAATGGGATCGAGAATGAGATCAATTATGAATGATATCTGCATTTGCTTGTACATCAATTCGTGTCTCTATTACTCAAAAATCAAGTTTTATTAAAAAAGAAAATTAGTTCTTAGAAATGTTGTTGGCTGTCGTTTCTGTCATACTAAAGACAACTGGTCAGTTTGCTATCAAAAGTGGAAATATCTACTAGGAACAAAACTGATATTTTAATTAAGTTTAGTTAATTCCCAAAGCTGCATTAATCTAAGTTCACTTTGTTAATGAATATAATTTTCCACATTGAATAATGAACAGAAAGTTTGTTTTTTCAAACAAACTTAACATCTACGATTGGTAAAAAAATTAGTTTTTACTTTCACTTTCTAAACAAAACTGGAAATAGAAATCTCCACTTTTGATAATGAATTACTCGATTAAAATTATTTTACATTTCAATATTGCTTTATCAATTTGATCAAAGTAGAAGAATTTAATTGTTTCCAATCTCTTCCAAAACAAATATTTTAATAACCAAATTATGATTTTTGTAAGATATTAATACCATACTATTCATATCATGTTTTTTTTATTTGAAGATAAGGTTCTTTACCAAAGTTCTTATTTTATTTTTTTCAATATTTATTTTTATCCTACTTCTTACATCTTGAATCAGGAAGAACTTTTCTTATACATTTAATGACTTGAGAAAGACAAAGTTAAACTAAATTTAAAATGAAAATTTCACTCAATATTGAGAAAGAGATTTTCTGCATTCCTGTTGCACTGCAATTGTTTCTTTTCAAATGAAGTCTTCCTCAAACTACATTTTTTTTTGTAAAAAAGGGAAACTTGTTTTTCTGGTTTAATTATTAACGACTTCTTTTGTCTCTCATTGTAGTTTGATTATATAAATAACTACTGTAAGAAGGATAGATTTCTTTATTAACGAAAACTGTTTTATTTTTTCATGCAAAATTAGCATTGGCATCCAAAAATGGCAAGTATACAGTTTTGTAAACCATTTTTATAATTAAATACAATATATTTTTAAGTTTACACCAAAATATTTTAAGATCTAAAAAAATAGACTAATCTAAAAACTTTAGTCATAATTTTCTCTCCTTGAAATCCCTATTCCTGTTATTTCCAGAATAAATAACCTTATTTTTGTCCTTATAGTTAAGAATGGCCGCCCTCAACGAAGCCTACACTGGAGGTATGAACGGCCCTCGGGGAGCTGATTATGCATGTTACAAGGAAGCAAGAAGAGCAGGACTCAGAGGCACATTCAGGGCATTCATAACCTCACGAAGCCAAAATCTTGACTCAATCGTAAAGACAACTGACCGGGATTTGCCAGTTGTAAACATAAAGGTATAATTTGAGAATTCATAATTGTATTATGTTTTAATTATTCAGATAGATTTCTCTTACCATAGCTTTCATTGGGGGATATTTTCAATAGAATGAGCCAACTACTATGAAGAGGAAAAAAAATGGTGGATAAAATTTGTCTCATTTTTGCCCAAGACTTTTATTGTTATAACTGTGAACAAATATAATTGTATGATGTTTACTCAGAGCAATGTTTAAATTTTGATTTGTTTATAAATTATGATTAATTATTATGATTTATAATATTTCATAAATAACGATTTTACAATAAATAATCAGTCATATAACAATCAATATGGGATTAAAAAAAAAAGAAAGAAAGAAAGTGAATTTTATTCTGAGACATTTAGTCCCCTCAGAATAACTATAATGAAAAACGAAATGACAATTGTCTGGCATTAGAATAAAATTAAAAATAAATTAATTTACAAAGTTGTCTAACCCTAATATTAAATAAAGAAAAGACACTGTAGTAGATATATGAATTAAAGATAAAAACATACGACTGAATTCACGTATTTGTACAAATAAGCAATATGGCACATGCATAGATATCTGCAAGATATCAGTAAAATGTGGCTAACATCTCTAAAGTACAAAATAACATTATTTTTACATATATTGCGATCAAGGATGAGGATTTCTGTATTGAAATTGGTAGAAAATTCCAAAACGAGGTAGCATGTATGAGGAAGGATTTTTTAAAGGAAACAGTTCTATGAGAAGGAATAAACAGACTTGAGGGTTGAGATCTCGTGTTGCATGAGTGAACGAATGATAATAATGGCTCATTTTTATTAATTTTATAATGAAAGAATGAAGACTATTATTTTTTATTTTATTTTTTTCAAAATTTGATAGTTTAAAATCTCATTTCAACAACTCAAAAATATTTAAATGAAAAATATGTATGTTCTTTTTTTAAGTATCGAAGTATGTGAATAACAAAAATTAATTAGTCTTTTTTCTTTTTCTTTTTTTTTTTTTAATGCTAACTGGACTATAATAATAAATAAAACTAGAAAAAAGTGCTTCCACTTTTCCATTTTCATGTCTTTTTTTTATAATATTCTTTGAAATTAATGATGATGGCTTCTGTCTAAATACATTATTTTAATTTTTTGTTTTTAATATAGGGTGATGTTCTTTTCAATTCATGGAGAGACATCTTCAAAGGCGATGGTGCTGTTTTTGCACAACAACCTAGGATATACAGCTTCAGTGGAAAGAACGTACTAACAGACTTCACATGGTAATATAAAATTAATATTTAAATACTTATTTTTATTAAATGGTGATTATTCTAATGGTCTAAAATCTTAAAGACAATCTAAGTCACAAAAATTATTCCAAAATAAAATCATTAAACTATAAATTAAGAACCATGACATTTTTATCATAAACATTATTTATGTAATTGATACGATGTAATTGATTCAACTTAATAGCCAAATGATATTAGCCTTGAACACTTACTATAAAAAAATATGAAAAAAATGATGTTCAACAAAATCTACAGAATGTAAGTGATGCTATCAAAAACCCATTTATGTATTTAAAATTTGGTACAAACTATCGTTTTGGTTCCTTTCTGAATTTACTCTGGTTGAATGTAAATAAGTCATAAATTTAATTTTTTTACTCAAGTAAAATAATTGTCTGTAAAATTTGTTTCTGTAGGCCACAGAAATATATCTGGCACGGAGCACTGGCGACTGGTGAAAGGGCAATGGACAAATATTGTGACGCTTGGGAAACCGATAGCTCAGATAAATTAGGCCTTGCATCTCCATTGATGAAAGGCAAACTCCTTGGTCAGGAACCTCTCGCATGTAGCCACAGGTATATAATGAAAGACAAATTAATATTATATGCTTACTGAATTATGAAGGGTAATAAGTAAAATATGCATTTTTTATAAATATTTTTCAATGAATATAAACAGTATGTTACTACTATAATGGTAGTATCAGATTTCATTTATAATCTATCCACTTGTTCCAAATATTTACCCATAATGGTAAGGCTTATAAGGCTCAATAAGGTTTAAAATTAAAAATCAAGGCTTAAAATAAAATTTAATTGTAGATTTTCATCAGAGTGACAAGTCTAGAAGGGAGTAAGGTCAAAATAGTCAGAAGTTGAAATTTTCAAGTAGGCTGGTTTTAAGAATATCAATTTACAAACATATTCTGCAAGTTAATAATATATTCAAATTCATTTTTTTTTTTAAGTATTACTTGTTAAATGTTAATTTGAAGTATCAACATCAAACGTAATTAAAAAACAGACTAGATATTGGACAAGGTGAGCCCGAAACCTCTTAAAAATCAATTAAATGGATGAATTATTTTTTTCTTGAAATTAATATACTATGATAAAATATGAAAGACTTTTTAATAAAATAAACAGGTTTTATACCTAAAAAAATTGGAATATAACCAATAAAAGTTAATTTTTTATAAAAATGTTTATATTTAATTCTTGTTTTTTGGAAGATATAAAGGGGAAAATAATGCAAATTAAATCCAATTAATGATGTTATTATTTTTTTAATATTTTGAATTAATCTATATTTTTTTCTTTTAGTTTTGCAGTGTTGTGTATTGAAGTTGCTTCAACTTCCCTACCACAAACAACAAGGCGGAGAAGGAGCTTAGATGCAGAACTATCCGAGCATGAATACACCGCATTTTTAGAAAAACTTTACAAAAATGAAGCACTGTAACATCTTGCCATATATGGAGCCTAGCGAAGTAACTACATAAGGCATTTTCTTTTTCTCAAGTGTCAAGTTACTGGCTCGTCTCTCTCTTATTATTATATCCCTTATAAATGTGTGTTCATTAAAACTAAAAACTTATTATTTACTTTCTACAGTATTTTGAGTAATTGTTATGATACAGACAAATTATGTAAATGTTATTTGTCTCTGATTGATTTCTATTTAACAAGAAAATAGATTTAAATCATTTTCAATTATACAAGTCTAGTATATTAAGAAGAAGAGGTATTAATACTCATAAGTAATGTACAGCATTTTCTGTATCATTTAACGCTTACTCTTTTCTTTAAAAAGTCAAATATAGCAATCAAAGCTATTAAATACTAATAATTTGCTTTTCTTCCCATAATACTCACACGAGCTCAAAAGCATGTTTGTGAAAAAGATACCAAGTGTCATTTTATAAAGCTTAAAGATATTTTATATGATAATGAAATTGTTGTAGAAAATGTAGACTTTAGAAATATTTAATTAACTTGACAACCCTGCAGATATTCATGAATTACTTCATATTTTGATTGTTTCTTCCTTTTATTTTATGTCTACCTCTGTTGTTTAAGAAAACATTGTAACTGAGATTAGTGAATTAATTTCCAATACAATAATTCATATTAAAAAATAAAAAAAAATAAAAAAAATCAATCTCTTAGTATTTTAAATTTAAGTTGTAAATAAACAATCTTATCAACTGAGAGATAAAAGTAAATATAACATTAACTTATATGTTTTTATAACTATTTAAATACCCATTAATTAATTACAAATGAATTTTTTGAGTAAATGTTCGTTTCTAATTGAATGTGTGTCTTTATGAAAGTGTAGAATAATTTTGTAATGTACAATTGTAAGTTATTATACGGCTGTAAGTTTATGATTTCACTTGAATAAGTGCCCTCGTACGTGAGTGAATGAAATTTTTTAATTGTTGAATAAATACTTTAAGGTATTTAATACTTAGCTTGTGTAAATTGATTGTATATTATACCTTTGCTAACATCTGCAATTTATTTCATATTAAAAATATTGCAATTTCATTGATTTAAAAAGAAATATTTTTTGTACCATTTAAAAATATTTTCATACCAGTTATGTTTACTTTATGAGTTAGCCCACAATTTATTGAAAAACTTATAATTTTTTTACTTGCTCAAAAGATTTAAAATAATTTACCGAAACTTAAATTGATTTCAAACAATGTTTTTTTAATATATTTAATAAAAAGCATTTAACACATTGACCTATAATACAAGTTAGGTCCCTACAGAAACAGTGATTTGAATATATGAAAATGATTCAGAGAAATAAATTTGATGATTTTTGTTTTTCGTTAAAATTATTTTCTGTAAACATAAAGAAAATTTAAAAAAAAAATCTGCACTAAAAATAAATATGCATTGATGAGATCAATGGAATAAAGAGGTAAAGATACTAGTGATTAGACAAAATTAGCACTTTTTTGAAAAAAAAAAACTATACATAAAATCAATTCTATTCACATTTATATCTCATCTTTTAAACTCCCAATGTTTCAAAAATTTTATTTACCTGCCATTCTTCAGTTCACTTAACAATCAGACCATAAAACCTATTTAGGGTTTATAATTATCATGTATATAGATCAAAATAATTTGTTTTATCTTTTTTTTTACTTTTTCTTGTTTCTAACCTCTTTAGGGATAATAATACATCCCCTAATAATCTTTAGAGATTTTAATAAACTCTTCATTAGAGATTATTAATGAGGTACATTGCTCGGTTGCTCAGCCTATCAGGACCTATCTTTAGTAACTAAGAATGGAATTGTTAAGGACAGGGGGATAAGCGGTTTGACTACTCTTGAAATTTTTTAAAATTTAATATTAAAGTGCAGAATTATGTGAATCAGAAAGTTGGATATTTGATATATAATAATATCTCTATGTTCCTTAGATCTCATGGAATTATTTTCGGATAAATTTTTATTTTGGTCATAAACAGTCAAATTGATGCTAAACCAAAGAATATCATTATTTGACATCAAGAATTCATTTAAAATGTTTCCATCTTATTATACTTCCTACATGTATATCAAATAAATATTTTTAGTTTTAATAACTCAATTTCAATTTAATTTTTTTTCCAAAATAATAAATGGTTTTGTTATCCAGTCACTGTTTATACCTTTCACATTATATTATAATTTTAACTTTCTCAAATTGGAATTATTTTTATACGTATACAATAAGTTTATGCAATTGGAAAATAAATAAAATTAAAATAAGTTATTTAAGAGATTAGATTTTTCAGTATTTAAGAAAAAAACATTTCAATCATGTTACCAACAAAAATTCTTTTTAGACATATTGTGAATGTTTTATATTCCTCTTATGGATGAATCAACTTTAATTAAAAATATGATAAATTTTATGGTGTTGTTGATGTTATAGATGGTAACGCTGTGTTAGATTCATCAATAATAAATTGAAATATCTGTTGGTAAATCAGAAAAGATTTGACATATGTGTTACCAATTTTTGCCTAAAAAATCAGATAAGATATCTGGTTATAAGTGTTCATAAAAAAAACATAATGAGTTTGTAATCTGAATAAAATAAAGATTAGCTCAAAAAAGGTCTTGTTTATTAGCCTATAATTTTCCACATCCAAAGAAAATATACCATCCTATCCATTTGAAATAACTGTACTGTGGAATTTAATTTATTTTTAACCTTGTTATATCCCCACGTAAGTTATTAAAGTGAGACTCAAAATCTCTTTTGTACCAAATATAAGCTCCAGTCATGCTCAAATACCATTAATGGGGTAACGTTGGATTCAGAATTTCACGGGGGATTAGCAAATAATTCTCTCCACTTTTGTTTTTCTTTCTAAAATAAATAAATCGATATAAACATTTTGCTAGGCTTCAATACTGGAACGGTGGTAAGTCTGTAGATTGATACAGGGCAAATTAGGCTTTGAAGATGTGCACACCAAGACGCAGATATTTCCGAAGGACTATCGGGCCCTGCGTTCTTAAGTCCAAAAATGTACTATTTTTGATATAATGCAAGGCATACAACCTTATATTAATTGTACTGCTGCATGGAATACATGTCATTTTGTCAACTGCAAATGGAGTGAATTGCTCGAAGAATGTGGCAGGATTCCTAGAGACCTCCCTAGAGGGTAAGCAGTGGCATGCTTTAGAATGCTCACAGGCAATGATTTCCTTCAGAAGCACCTCCACCCCATCAGTGTAAAAGATAGTCCGACATGCCCTCTATGTTCCTTAGACATAATGACAGGAGAACATCTTGATACATGCCCTGCATTATAGGACATAAGATGTTCCTTTAATGCATGGGCGGATTTACGGGGGGAGGGGAGGGGAGGCTTTTGGGCTGAAGCCCCCCTCCCCAAAATGGTAAAATATAACCATGTTTTCTCGAAAAAAATATTAAAAAAGTATCTCTTAAAGTATAATTGTTCATGTGATTAATATTAAAAGGGCTTTAGGAATCACTTAAACACCATTTCATACAGGTAGTTAGTTTCTTTCTTTTTTTCCGAAGTAATTATCGCTATTTTTGTGAAAAAAAAAGCTTTCGGGCTGAAGCCCCCCCAAAATTAAATCCTGGATCCGCTAGTGCTTTAATGAAATGGACAGCCCTTATGCTCGTAGAGAAAACTGTATTGGATTGCAAGAACACGCATGGCTAATGAAGCAGGCATAGGGAAAAAAAAAAAAAAAAAAAAAAAAAAATTTGTCAACTTGAAGTTCCTATGATTAAGAGAGGAGGAGTTTCTATTGTTTATCAAAGGTCTTTTTATAAGCCATAACATCATTAATTCTTCATCAAATCTCAAGATTGAGCCACCTATTTTGAAGGTTTATTTCTCCTTCAGGAGAGATAAGTAGTCCAATCATCCCGAAAATTAAGGCAAAAAAGTTATGAAAGAAAAGAAACTTTATTTGTGAATATCTCAAAAATTATACTTTTTCCTTGGTTATGTTCATGATTATATAAAAATTTACCAAATTTTTTACAAAAGGAAAAAAAAAATCATCGTAGTCAGAATTATTAGCAAAAATACAGCTTGCTAAAATTTGTTAACATGTCAGTTCCAAACAATTTTCTTTTTTTCCTAACCTGTTTAGTTATAAGTATTTTGCAACCTGTAGGTCTCCCCTAATTAAGTGGGTAATGGTCTAACTTCCGTGGGGACCAGCCATAGTGGGTAGTAGGGTAGAGATTAGATCCTATGATCTTTGCTTTACTAGTATAGCGCGCTAACCATTCTGCTATACTGGGAGGAGCAGTGATCACAGAAAAAAAATTACACAAATAATTAAACTTATTTTAATAATTATCAATGTTTTGGCCTAAGTTGTAGGCCTTCATCAGGATGAGAAGTGTAAAGTTTTTCTGTGGATTTGTTCCCACCAACTTCTCTCAGAATATAGTTACAACATGTATTTTGACATTTTATTAAATTATGTGTGTGGAACTATTGTTTCCTACAGTATGTACATGTTTTTACTAAAACAAAGTGGAATTAATAAATAAATATTGTTTTTATTTTTTTTTCTCTTGATGTTAAAACCTTACTTGAGACATGGAGAGGAGAGGTTGTCTCATAACATAATAATTGAAAGTGTATTAAGGCAAGTATATTCCGTATTTATCACTTTTAGATGCATATTTTTATACCAAAGTTTAAAGTTTAATAGAAAGAGGATGGAAATAATCTGGAGAAGAAATAAAACATGCATATTTTTACAGTGTTTACAGCATAGTTAAAGAACTTTTACGATATAAAAATCTCTGTGAATATAAAAAAAATCTGTTTTCTGATTTTAATAGTTCTTGAATACATAATTTTGTAGGCTTAATGTAAATTTCCTCATAGGAAGCCCAACAGTTTTTTTTTTAAATATCACAAATGTATACAACCTATGC